GTTAGAATAAGTTTGACAATGTCTGACCTATTTTCTAGACTTCAGAACACATATTGCTGTGTCTTTTGTATTGTTCATTCTGTCTTTGATATAAAGACCATTAATTAAACCTATTAAATATGAGAAGAGATCATTCTACATTTTTGCATATTTATTATAAAAAAAATCATGTTTTCAAATCGAAGTAATCGATGCTTAAAGAGTATTTTCTTCACTTTCTTTTGACCATTTCTGGAAAAGCATGGTTTCCCACAGTACTGCACCTGAACTCGTAATAATCTCCAATCAAACTTTATCCGAGTCGGCTGAAAATATGTTTGCTTATACCTAAGATTTTCTCAAAGGTTAATTCTAACTTTTCTAAAAATTGGACTTTTTTTTTTAATGGGAGACATACGTAAATATTTGGCGGTGAACTCGAGGTTTTCGCTTTTAGACCCCTATAAATTTAAATAGGACAATTAAAAGAAGAATATAACTGATTTTACGTCTGGAAAACACTAGAAATTGTTTGTGATCAAAATAGTCGTAATATGGTCAAGTGAAGTCCTATGAAAAACTAAGACTTGTCAGAAAAAAAAAGCAAAAAAACTTCCTTTAAAATACTTTTTCACAAACATATATTTGCTTATTCCAGATGTTTTATCTCTTGTGAAAATTTCAGATTAATTGCCCATTAGACATGCACCGAACTGAAATTCTGATTTGGTGCTTGAGATGAACAATTCAGGTTTTGATTCCTATGTAGTAAATCTAAGACAATTATCCTTCTCAATCTCTTGAACAGTTTCCAAATGTTAATGAATTTTTGGTAGACACATTCGATACTTGTAATAGTTGTATTTTCCTTTTTTCTAAATTCTCAAAGCTTGAACCAATTATGACATTATGTTTTAGTCTTCATCAAATGCATCAACTCCTTCGTTGAATACTAAAGAATCTCCTGATAAAAATATCGTACCATCAAAACCTAAAGATGAACATTCCATATCGAAATTATCATTAATGAATTTATTTCGTTCTCAAACAAAACAAATTATTAGTGCTGTACTTAAATTAACACGACAAAGTGAAACTGATTATAATAATGGAATACCTATAACATATAATCGTCCATTACCACCAATTAATGATAGAGAACAAATGCAATTAGTTAAAAATATTGCTGTTGCTGTTCGTGATCTTCTACAAACACTTGATTATGCACCTCTATCAATTAAAGAAATGGTTCATAATTTCTTAGTTTGATTTTTTTTCTAAAATTAAGTTAAATATTTTTTTTTTTAATATTATTTTAGTCTGAACATCGTTATGGTCATTTTTCCAATTTAGTTGTTTCATTAATTGAAACAGTTCGTCAACGAAATTATGATAAAATGGGTGAACATGCTGTTAATATTGCTTATACAGCAAAAGCACTTTTTGATGATATTCTTAAATTATGTTAGATTTACATTTTTTAATGTATATTGTTTATTAAAAATGTCTTTCAATTGATTTGTCATAAAGCAGTGATAGTCAAATATAATTGAACAAAATACAAATAAAAATTGTCGTACATCGAAGAATATTTTTTCGTTTCTAAATTTTCTTATTTTGATTTTCATCATATATACAGAGTATGTTGTACTAGATTTTTTGTCTAGGAATATAACAGTGTAATGTCAAGTAACATAAATCAATCAATCTTACAGTAAAATATCAACACATTAAAGTGCAACGTGAATTACTCGCTTCGACATATTTCGAAAATGTGGTTTGAATCTACTATTGAGTACATTCATCATATTTTTCTCTAACAATCACTACTTTCACGGTTTAGTTTGAATTAATACAATCTATTCTGTGAATCCAAGACAGTCCATTATTGAACATCGAATTATTTCTCAGAGTATTCTTGAAGAAAAGTTATACGAAAATGAATAAGTTCAGTGTAGTCAACGGGGTTGATTATATGTAGATGACAACAGGTTTTAAGAACTGAAAAACAGAAGCTTATAAGTTGTAGAGGAATTCTCAATGGAGCTATGATTAGTTCTCAGAGGAAACGAGAATTGATAATTAGTTCACTTACAGTTCCGTCATTCATAACAGCCAAAGTAATGCTTTTTCTGAAATAATTTTCATAATAAAATATTCGTTTTCATAAATTTCTTGGTGGATATCAATGTTACAGCGAGAAAATATCATGAATATTATATTGCATTATTTTAACAATCATGAAAGCGTGAGGCATCTGAGAAGAAGTTCCTATTTGTCAGTCTTTGAACATCTTTCAAAAACTATGCAATGAAAACTTCATAATTGTAGCCATTGGTGGGATGGATATGTATGCGACGATCGCCCTATATAATTGAAAGATCACAGTGCCTCAGGATGATAGCAATTCATGATAATGCCAGAGTTTTAAAATGTCCAAAAAAGCGTTTTTCAAGATTCAAGGAAGCAAACACTTTTATTTTCTAAATTCAATGTGCTAAAGTCGATCGAGCTCGACTTGATACTTAAGATTATGCTTGACCGTACTCTGGTTGTAGTAAAAGTATCAAAATAAAATAAGCAAATTTACGTATATTTTATCTGGTAGTAGGACTTTTGATGACTACTATATATAAAATGAAAGTTTTCTGCAGACAGAATTTGTAAGTATAACTGATAATACATAGAATGTTGATGATCTTTAAAATCATGCAGTTTTGCAAAATTTTAGATATCTAATTAACTCATTTCATAGATGATTAATAATAAAAATGTACAATTCAAAAAAGATTTCTCACCTAGGAAAATTTATTGGCTTCTCTTTGTTGATGATTTTCATAATATTCATTTTTTCTTAGAATTAATACGTCAATGGCAATGGAATTTAACAGTACTTTGATCTTAGTACTACCATTGGTATATTAATTTTGAAAAAAATTTCTTAAAATCATCCACCATAATAAGCAAGAAGTTTTTTTCTGAAGCTTACATTGTCTCTATTGATAGTCAAGTTGAAAAACGTTGAAAATCTTAGATATTGACTGAAACTATTAAAAACTCTACATTACTTCTTTTATCTATAAGGTTACATTTCTATAGAATGTTTTTGAACGTTCGCCATTCATTCTATCTCTTATGACGATGGTAAATGACTGTCCCAATTAACCTTTATTTTTAATAAACTGATTAGGTTGTGGGTGTGAGGTGTATTTGTAAAGAAAGAAATATTTGTTGTCATCGAAACATGAATAAAGCAAATATTTGTTTATTACGATTGAAAAAATTCGATGGTCACACATACCATTAGAAAGGAATATTTATGGAGAGGTAATATAAGAAAGATGATTCGACCAGTGAAAATAGAAACAGTAGCCTGGGTCATGACGAAAAGAAGGCAAAAATTTGCATACATATGCTTACGAAGGAATTTTTCAGCGATATTGTAGCCAAATAAACTAAACTCTTTGTATGCGGTGTATTTCTTTTAGTACAAATTAGAAAGTTTTTTGAGAATATTATACTTTTGATATTTTTCTTTCGTCGACAACTTGCCATCTAACCGCATTAATTACCTATGAAAATACCCAGTTGTATGTTTGCAGCTTCGAACAAATTCCATTCATTATCCTTTAGCCAGATAAACATTTACTATATATTCAAAAACCTGTATTTAAACAAATTATCAATTAGGGTAAACTTAATTATTTATACTATGTAAAGTCATAGCATTATCCTTATGGAAAAATCAATTGAAACGAACAAGAAATTATTTTTCGCTCCACTATTTTCCATTAACTTTTGGATAAGATATCCTTAGCAACTAATCAATAAATCATTCAAACAAATCAATGGCAAATGTATTTTCATTATGTAATGATATTGAACAATTTCTTCAACAAAATGACAAAAATTCTATAAATCAATTTCTTAATTGGCTTAAATCTCGTTTAAATATTTCTAGTTGTTCAAATATTAGAAAATCTGAATATGTTCATTCGGAAAATTTCGAAAAATCAATAATTAATACATCACAAATATTTATTTGTCAATGTGGTCATCGATATGCATTTCGTTTTACAATTGATAATCTTATTGAAACAGATGAATTTGATGAAAATGAAAAACCATATAAAATAAAACTTCATAATTCACAGAAATATTTTCTTTGTAATCAATGTCAAATTCGTTTACATACACATGAAACATTTCTTAATCATTATTCAATGCATGAAAAAGGTTATATATTTTGTAAATATTGTTTTCAATTTTATAATGATAATCAAACAAAATTACATGATTGTGAACAACAAAAACTTGATGAATTACAAAGTCTTGAACAATTAATTCCACCTGATACTATTGAACAACAACAGCAACAAAATTCTAATCAAATAAGTAAAAATTTCACAATGAAAATTTCTATGATAAGTTCGAATTTTGATTAGATTATCTTAATGATAATGATAGATCTAATTCAACACGTATAACATGTTTTGGTTTACCAAAATTAACTGATTCAATTGTTGAAATAATTCATTCTGATGGCAAACGACAATATCGTTGTCCACTTTGTTTTAATTCTTATGTTAATCGATCAGGTCTTAATCGACATTATATTACACATAGTTCCCAAGATATATGGAAAGTTGGTTAGTAGAAAAAACACTTTTTTTTTTCCTTAAATTAGAATTGTTTTATTCTTATAGAATGTCAATTTTGTGGTAAACGTTATTCACGAAAAGATTCATTAAAACATCATATAAAAACTCAACATGCACAATTTGTTATGCCAAATTTAATATGGAATGATAAAGATAATACATTATTTCATCGATCACATGAACAATTATATCAGTCTAATAATAAGAATTTATTAGATATTCAATCAAATTCATCTTTATCAAATGAAAAAGAACAAATGGAAAATGATGATATTGTTTTAGTTAATTGAAAAGCTTTCTGATCCTTTTTTTTGTTCGTCTTTAATAAAAAAATATGATTATTCAAATGTTAAATATCATTTTGACTAAAAATGTAAAAGGCAGTCCGCTAAAACACCAACCAATATAAGCAGGAATAGGCTGCAGAGAAATTTTACATTTAAGTTTTGATTATTTCATTGGAAAGCCAAACAAAGATTTCATAGAAAAGCCGAAATAGCAAAAACTACTATTCTTCAAAATTTTGGACCATACTAAAAAAATTGACATTTTCAATTCTGGTTGTATTTTGCAATTTTATCCTCAGTCTCTTGATGGCTTAAGGGACGGAGTCGGATGACAAGGATTTTATTTCTCTACAAAACAGCTTATTTCTATTACTGTTTGAACGCTCTCTTTTTTCTATGAGAAAGAAATCAAAGCAGTAGAAAATTAGCATAGAGTTTCGGTGATGATTTTTAGTGTTATGGAAGAAAACATTAATACAAAAATGAGAGCTACAAGCCTGGATATAACATATGTTGTAGCCTTAATCACGACGCATCTTTTGGTATAGTTTTCTTCGAGAATTTTTTTAAAGTATTTGATGGATAATTCGAAAATGCAAGCGTTTACATAACTTGAAGTTTTGTAATCCGAAAAATGACACGAAGAACGCTAGTTCATGTTGTCTTTGATGAATTCTTGAAGTACTCATCCTTGAGCACTTCTCGCTTAACAACTAAAGATATTGACGAACTAAAGAGAGATACAGTAACAATAAAACGGACATATTCTGATGATCCAATTGATAATTCACTCATAAATTTATACTATTCATGAGCACATGCATGTGTATCTGTAGCGTGAGTGCGCTGAAATTTTAACACAATTAAGAAATCTTTATAAATCGTCTACAAATAAATTCCGTAAAAAAAATAAATTAAAAAAAAAGATGCAAATGTAGTTTTGGCCTCTTCTTACACGGTACCCCCCACATAGTCACGCAATTATTTCCAATCACACACTTGTACCCAAATCATCAAGACTGTTGCATCATTATTTGCTAATCACGTTGTTCATAATCATTTTTTCCAGAGATGGGCAAGTCATTTTTTCAAGTCATTTCGAAAGATCCTCATATCTTTTCTCATTTGAAGAGCATGTCTCTAATTTCAATGTGGTTAAACTCAGAAATGTTCAGGCTACAAAATGATATATTATCATCAAAGCTTCTCTTCAGCAAAAGCGCCGTAATATCCTTAAAACACTTTGACTTGATGAAAATGACTTGGCTTAATCAGGTCAAGTCAAGTCATGGTGTTTTATAAGTATTACAGCTCTTCTCATGGAGATAAGCTTTAACCATAATATATCATTTTGTAGCCTGAACATTTCTGAACTTAGTCACATTGAAATTAGATACACACTCTTCATAGGAGAAAAGGTATAAAGATTTTTCGAAATGACTTGAAAAAATGACTTGCCCATCTCTGATTTTTTCTTTGAATTTTTCTATTGCTTTTGGGAAAATATCTATATAACATTTT